TCTTAAGGTCGTTTGAGGATCTGTTCCCCAGGGGTCACATGGGCTTGGGAGAAGCCCCTGGCTCCTGTGTTTTACCAGTTCCATCTATGGGAAGATAAGTCAAAGGCCCTACTCAACTGTGGCTGGCTTCACTTGGAAGCATGGAGGAAATGTTTCCTCTGAGTTGACCCTCCTCTTTGTAGACTGGATACTGGTTCAAGTTCATCTGTTTGGGTCTCCATGGCCTCCCTGAACAGGAGGAGAGGTGACTCACCACAGTTACAGGAAATTTTGAGGGATGCTCCATAGTTCCCTGGAACTTAGTTGACCTTGGAAGTCAAGGAGCAAAACCTGTCCTTTAAGTCCCTCTGACCAAATTAATATAGGCATCAAAGTATGGCTGTTAAACACCGAAGAAGGTTAGTTCCACCACCAGCCTGGTACTTTTAATTACCATGCGCTATGTAGAGAAAGCTTGAACAAAAACCAAACATTCTCAGGTAAACCTTGACTAGACATATATTTTGTTCCTTGAGCTAGTTGTATGTATAATTTGTCAGTACTAGACACGTGGTCTGAAGATCTGGATTAATATTAGTGGCATTTAGCTTATTCCTTTTCAGTTTTCCCAAGTATAAAAATGTAGTTAATTTTTTTGGCTGGATGTGGTGGTGCACACCTTTAATCCCAGCACTTGGAAGGCAGAGGCAGGTATATCTCTGTGAGTTCAAGGCCAACCTAGTCTACATAGTGAGTTCTAGGCCAGCTGGGACTACAGGGAGACCTGTCTCAGAAAGACCAAAAAAAAAAAAAAAACCAAAAAAACCCCAAAAGTAGTTCATTTTCATAAATTCTTTAGCACTATTGTTTATATCAAATGAGATGTTTTTATATATCATAGTGAAATAGTTAATAAATTGCCTTATATTACCATTAAATACTATTTTATGCTCTTTTCATGGAATTTTTCATCTTAGATTAAACTGAATTCTATATTTAGTATTTGTTTGTATTTAAGGCAGACTATTCATTTAAACATTAGAATTTATTATAGACTTTAAATTTTTATTAGCATGCATTTGTTGTACAAGAGAATTGGTCTCATGACATTTTCATGCGTGTCTATCCTGTGTACACTTTCATTCTCCTCCTACTGTCTTTTCATAGTCCTTCTTTGCTTCATGTTTTACTGAGATTCCACATATTATTATTATTATTTCCTATGCTATTAGAAGCCTTTCAGAAAGTCCTTGACTATGCTTATATTTTTAAGTATTCCCCCATGTTTTCTCATAATAGTTTCAAAGTTTCAGATATTACATTAAGGTCTTGATTCATATTGTGTTGATTTTTATACAGAATGAAGGATAAGCATCTAGCTTCTTTTTTCTACATTTGGATATCCAGCTTTCCCAGAAGCATTTGTTGAAGAGGCTATCCTTTCTCCAACATATACTTTGGCACCTTTGCCGAAGTGTGTGTTTATTTCTTTATTGTTTGTTCTATTCTATTGGTGTACATGATTGTTTGTGCCAATATCTTTCTGCTTTAGTTATTGTGACTGTGTGGTATAAATTGAAGTCAAGTATTGTGATACCTCCAGCATTGCTCTTTTGCAGATTAGTTTTTAATTATTTTTAAACTAGGCCTACATGATGTAAGTGCACCCATATCATGCAATGCCCAAGGAGGCCAGAAGAGGCTGTCGGATCCCCTGGGACTGGAGTTACAGACAGTTGTTAGCTGCCATGTGGGTGCTGGGATTTGAAACCAGGTCTTCTGCAAGAACAGCCAGTGTTCTTAACCACTGAGCCTTCTCTCCAGCCCCCCTTTTTTTTTAAATTTTATGTGTATGAGTGTATTGCCTGAATGTGTGTAAGTGCACCCTTGTTGTGCTATGCCTGCGGAGGTCAGAAGTGGGTGTCAGATCCCCCAGGAACTGGAGTTATGGACAGTTGTTAGCCATCATGTGGGTGTTGGGAATTGAACCCAGGTCCTCTGCAAGAGCAGCCAGTGCTCTTAATCACTGAGCCATTTCTCCAGCCCTTGCTGACTAGTTTTTTTTTTAATCTCTAATTTATTATTTTTATTTTATGTGTATGAGTGTATTGCCTGCATGTATGTAAGTGCACCGTGTCGTACAATGCCGCAGAGATCAGAAATGGGTTTCAGATTCCCCTGAAACTGGAGTTAAGGACGATTTATAGCCACCATGTGGGTGTTGGCTCAGCAGATAAGACTGCTCTTGCAGAGGACCCAGGTTTGATTTCTAGACTAGTTTTTAAAGTTACCAAACTCAACTAAATATTTGCTGTTGGTATCTCTATAAATAGCACTTGATCTTTTTATTTAATCACATAGGAAATCTAACTGTCAGACCCTTATCTCTTCACAGAGATATCAGTATATAGTTCTGTATCTTTTAAAATATTTTATTTATTTTTGTATATTGTGTCTTGCAGGCATGTATGTAAATGCACCAGTGTCATGCAATGCCTGCAGAGCCCAGAAAAGGGTATTGGATCCCCTAGAACTGGAGTTTTCAGTTGGTTGTTAGCTGCCATGTGGGTGCTGGGAATCGAACCCGGGTCCTCTGAAGACCAGCAAGTGTTGTTAACCACTGAGCTGTCTCTCCAGCTCCTAATTCTATATCTTAATATATAAATATTCATTTGCTTCCTTATTCTTCAAGGTGAAAAGATAAATCACAGTGGCTTTGATTTGAGAGCTGCTTTTCTTGCTAGCTATATGACTTTGTATATTATTTTAACAACTCCTCTGATCTCTTCTATAAGCTGGAGAAATAGCACATGTCAGTGAGATTGTTTAAAGACAGGAGTTAAAATGTGTAGGGCTGTCAGTACTGTGTATGCCATACAGAGGCCTCTTAACACCCAAGAGCTAATCTTCATTGGAACAGGAAAAGAATTTTGTCTTCTCTTTAGTTTGAAAAGCTGTAAATTGAACCATTAAGTTACTTTAAAATGATCTTAAGTAGGATTAACATATTGCTGATGATGCACAGAATGATGAGTCCTTTTTCTTTTTCCTGTTTTGTTTTAAAATCATAGGGCACCTCGATTTAAAGGTTTCCAACAACAGGACAGTCAGGAGCTTCTTCACTCTTTGTTGGATGCAGTCAGAACAGAGGAAGCAAAGGTCAGCTTTCTTAATATTTATCACACATTCTCTTTGAGGCAAGGATATGAAACTGAAATAATTAATTTCTATAATTTTATTATTATTCTTTTGCATTCTATGCTTTTTGTCTTTCATAGTCCTGTTTTCTACTTTTTATTACTGTCAGTTGGCTATCTTAAATAGAGAACTCCTTTTGATGAATGCCTATAATCTAGCTGCTGAAGAGGCAAGAGGATTTCTTGAACTCAGTAGTTCATAGTGAGATTCCTCTTCAGAAAAGAAAAAGCATCTTAAAACTAAGGCCAAGGAAAATAAAGCTGAGAGATCTAGAAAAGAACATTAACAAGAATCTAGAAACATTTCCTTTATTATTTTTCTCTAGTATTTTTGATTCTATAGAGTTTCCTTCATTTCTTCTCCCTCTGAACATGGAGTCATGTACATGATCACCATAATTTACATGCTTCAGTTCCACATATACAGAACCTAAACTGTCTGTTGTGGTTTTGAATTCTCGATAGAGTAAAACCTCATTACCCCATGCTTGATAGGAAAGTAGTCTCAGCTGTGTGAATCATGAAACTTTTTCTAGAAAAGAATAGTTTCTATGCAGCTTCTCCAGACAGTGTTTAATCACAGTTCTCTCCTATGAATGATAAATTGTTTGTTGACTTTAATATGAAATCAATGAAAGTCAACTTGTTTGGGAAGGAATCACATGTACCTACTATCTAATTTATCAGAGAAGACACAAAATATTAAAGGTATCAAATACAGAGCACATATTCTGCATTGCTGTAACTCATACATGTTCCTTAGAAGTTTGTATTTTGAAAGCTTAATCACTAAAGTCATATGTTAATGGTCTTTGGAAATGGGGTCTTTGGGGGTAATTGGGATTAGATGAGGTATAAGAGTGAAGAGGAGGAGGGGCCTAAACTGGCACATTTGCAATGTCTGATGCCTTCATTACCATATAAAACACTAAGACCTTCCTTCACCACCTGCTTAGCAGGTGCTAGCTCTAGAACCATACCTAAATAAACTCATTTTCTTCCTCCCTCCCCCCTCCATCCCT